GCGTATCAAAACTTTCTGTAATGATCGTTGCTCTCTGTGTCCTCTGTAAGAAACATTGCTATGCATCCCCCTGGCCCCCCCACCCCAGGTCAGAAAGATAGTCTGTATTTTCTTAGAGAAGCTTTAAAAAGTTAAAACTTTTACTTTTAGGTCTCTCTGATTAATATTAAATTAATTTTTTTAAATGTGGTGGGGGGGGGGGGGAAGGGTTTTTTTCCCCCCCCCCCCCCCCCCCCCGCATATGGGTATTTGGCTGTTCCAGCACCATTTGTTAGAAATGTCCTCACTGAATTGCTTGAAGGCGTGTATATTACTGGGGTTGCATTGAGTATGTGGATCAATTTGGTGGGAAATGACTTTTTAATAATATTGAGGGCTTCCCTGGTGGCGCAGTGGTTGAGAGTCTGCCTGCCAATGCAGGGGACACAGGTTCGTGCCCCGGTCCGGGAAGATCCCACGTGCCATGCAGCGGCTGGGCCCGTGAGCCATGGCCGCTGAGCCTGCGCGTCCGGAGCCTGTGCTCCGCAACGGGAGAGGCCACAACAGTGAGAGGCCCACGTACCACCAAAAAAAAAAAAAAAATTGAATTTTCCAGTATGTAAACATGGTATATGCCATTTTAAAATCTAAACATTGTTAATATTTATTTTCAGAAACGTTATAGAAATGGCTTTGAAATAAATTACAGAATTCATTTGAAGATCATTAATGTGGTTGAGACTAAAATGAGCCAATGATCATATTTTTATGGTGGGAGGTACAAAGTAAACCTAATATTCTCTCATACCTTAATCTGTAATGTGGTTAAAGTATAGCTGAAATTATAAGGAAGCTTTCTTTGAACATCCTAGGCATCGTGCATTCCCTCTCTTCTGAACTACTGTTACTAACACACAGGTTAACAGTACATGGTTCTCTTAGAGTGTGAACTTCCAGGGAGTTGTGATTGACTCAAGTTCAGCCTTTAAAGTTTGATGAATAGTGTGAGAGAAAGTTAGTAAGCCTGGAGATTGGCTTTGATCTGAGAGGCTACAGGGAGCCGTTGAAGGCACTTGTTTAGGAGAATGAACACCATGAAGAGGGGGTGTTGTGTAAGAATGGGATGAATTACCTGGAAGAGAGAGTCTGGAGTAGGAAGACCATTTTGAACTCTTAATGCTCAGAGTGTGCTCAGCAAACCAGTAGTGTAGGATATCACTTGGGAGTAGGTTAAGAATGCAGATTCTGGGACCTGACCCACACCCACTGAGTTAGAGTCAGTGTTGTAAAGATTCCCAAGTCATTCCTATGCCCATGAAAGTCTGAGAAGTACTGCTTTAGGGAAACGTTCAGTCCCCCTGGTGTGAGTGGTTAAGGGCCCCAGTGCACACAACAGTTGACATGATCGTGGCAGATGTCTGACTTCTTGCATGTTGGCTCTTTCTCTTTAGATTGTCAAAATGGATTTTTAGAATCATTTCTGTTTTCTTGAGTTGGTGGTGTGGGGGCAGGGGAATAGTCCTTCAAACAGTCTTTTTAGAAATACATTCTTAGAAATGCTACTTTATGGGCTTTTTAAAACTTCAGGAACCATATATCGTTGATTTAAGTAGCCTCAACAGACTGTAAGGTCAGTTATTTAAAAGAAATTTAATGGGGACAAGTGATTCAGTGTCCTTTGCTATTCCCAGGGACTGGAATTTGGGGATGAAGTTGAGATTTTGTAAAAGATTTCAAGTGTGGTTGCTGTACAAATTGTAAATAGTGCGCTTGTTGAACGTCTAAAGAGAAAGAAAGGAGAAGACAGCTTTCGTTGTACAGTTTGTGCAATAACTAAAGGACAATAAATCCACTAGCAGCCTGCTACCCTCACACATAAACTGTTTGTATTTTTCTGTATTCCTTTACCAGCATCATCTGTCAACATACAAGATTTTCACACAGTTACGTAATCATGATATAGATGCAACTTTGTAGTCTGCTTTATGTCATTTAACATGTTACCCTGCTCCCCGGCTCCTCCTCTTCCCTCCTTATCCAGCTGTTCTGCCGTCTTCTTCCTTCTCTTTCCTCTCATCCCTTACCTCCCTGGCTGGCCTCCCTAGCTTGGATCTCTGGTTCATCTTGGGCCCTCTACCACATTATTTCTTGTTTAAGAGTGTACAGAGATTTTTCACTGCATGCCTGAGCATCAGTTTGATATTCCAGACTCAGTTCTTCCTGGCTTGGCTAGCCCAAACACACGCTGCTTATTACCTTCTCCCCTATTACCTCCTCCGAACCAGATCCCTTTCTGCCGAGGATCCGCTCTTGATGCATCTGCTGTGTGAAGCCATCTCTGGTTTCCCAGGGGCCTCAACAGACTTCTTGCAGTCACCATCTACCTTTATACAGTGGAACCTGACTTAATGGTTTCATAAATGGGGGCTCACTGCTCTTTTCTTGTTTCACTTCCCTACTTGGCAGATGCTCAAGAATGATAGCTGCAGAGAACCCTGAGCAGCTTTGTGCTAAGTTTTGTTGGCAGAGGAGCCATCAGAGGACAGACATGTTCTTATTGCTGAGGATGGAAATGATTCGAGTTGAGGCTATACTACTCTGAGCCCTAGAGCCAGAGCCCCTGGGTCACCTCTGCATTTTGAGTCTGCCAGGGGTTACTGTATTTTAGGCTGTGGCAGACTTTGGACTTTGGGTCAGTTTACTTGTTTCCATGAGCTGTCCAGTTGCTAAGAAGTTTGAGAGATTAACTATAAAGAAGATAACTGATATTTTCAAAGGGAGATGCTTTTAAATTTTTGAATCAAATTAAGAAACTTAAATCGGAAATGTTGTGTAGGTACTGATAGAGAAACTTGTAGGGCTAGGGCTAGGGTTGATGTAGAAAGCATTTAAGCTGAGACATTATTCAAATAGATAGCCTTAGAAGGAGAAGTCTCACTTCATCATGTCCTCGTTCCCAGTTTTTAGTATCTTCGGAGTGTCTAGTGTGTGCTTGGCTAAAGGTTATAAAGAATATCCTCCAATAAAAAGGGTCAAGTTCCTGTCCAGCATCAGGTGTGAGTTTGAGAAGCAAAGATGGGCTTTACTTAGTAAAATCAGGCTTTGTGTTTCAGACCTTTCAACTTACTGAATGTTATCCTGTGTTGACAGTTAACTTCTTAGACTTTCTGTCAATGTAGATTGAAGAGGTAGAACAGAACGGGCATGTTTGGAGAGCTGGGATCAGGAAGCCATTAGAAAAGAGGCTTTTTGGGGTAAAATGTCTTTGAACACAAATGGCCGCAGATAAGAGTGATCATGCCCACCCGTTCACCTAGGACTGTCTCTGTTCAAGCTTGCTGTCCTGGTATGATGATCAATATTTGCCCCCTTTCTCTCTCAAAAGTGCCTTCGTTTGGATGATAACTTACATGGTCACCTACTAAAAGCAACATAACTGATAAAATACTTTGTGCCAGACACTGTACCAAATGCTTTATGTAATCCTTGCAAAACACCTGAAAGGTGGCTGCTGTGGCCGCTTTACAGATGAAAAGATGCTCAGAAAGGTTTAGTAACTTGACCGAGATCACACGGTGGCAGACCTGGTGAGTAAAGCAAGCTCTATCAGACTTTCAAAGCGACTTAATTTTTCCCAGCCTGCCACACCAAGGGGTTAACAGGGTCTTCTATTAATTTGAGGAACTAGTGAAAGAATCCTACAATGGTAGTGCAAGCCTTTACCTAAAAGAAACAGTGGAATGGAGAATGTCTGGATAAAGATAAAAAGGTGATGCCTTAGTGGGAATGCTGGGATGAAAGGGAGAGAGTTACACTGTATTTAGATGTCCAGGCTCCTAGATGCTTATAGCCATTTGTTTCTAAATGGACTTAAACTGATGTGCTGCTCAGGCCTGGGGTCTTTCTGCTTGGGTTTGGAAGTTCATGGTAGTTGTATAGATCAGTGCTACTCAAACTTTTATGTGCATCTAATATCAACTGGGAGTCTTGTTAAAATGTAGATCAATTCCATGGGTCTCAAGTGGAGTCTGAGATTCTGTGTTTATAACAAGCACCTAGTGATGCTGATATTGCTGGTCTGCCACACTGTAGTTCGGGTAGCAAGAGTGCAGTTGATTAGATTCTCTCTGCCTGGGGCATGAGGGTGCCCATATCCACAAATGCCCTGATTTTAGATGGGGAAGGGAGGGCCGATTGCTTCTAGTTGTAGGTGCGCTCACATTGTGATGGAAGGGACTACGTAGATAGCTGGTGTAGGTGGGGAATAGGTACTTAAATATGGATTTTCTAAAGGAAGCATTGTGTTTTTATAATTAATACATACGGATTATTTTTAAAGTATATCCTTAGCTTAGGGGAAGGGTGGACAGAGAAGCAGGAGGGAGTGGTCTGGGGTGGGGGCAACACCAGCATGGGTGAGTTCTTGCTCAGCCTGTGCAGTGGTGAAGAAGGCTTTGATAGACACAGACAGGGAGCAAGCCAGAGTATCTACAGCCAGACAGGAATAATGTGGATGGATGACACAGCAGCAAAGCTCTTAAAAAAAAAAAAAAAAAAAAACCAAGGGGAGGAGTCCCTCCCACAGACTGGCCATTTTCCCCCTCTAGGCTATGCCTGAGTGCCTGTGGACAGAAGGGTATACTCAGGAGGCTCTGGCCAGCTGTTCCTGTGGATAACAGCATTATCCTCCACTCTGCCCACTTCGTAACCCTGTCCTGGGCGGTCCCAGGTGGGCATGCTTCCCGTATCTGGTTACTTCTTCTTGTAACATGGGAAAACAAGCAGGGTGGAGTGCTGCCTACCTGGTCTAGGTGCGAGCAGCCTGCTTGCTGAAGCTGGGACCTTCACTTTACCCTCCTTTCTGAGGAAGAAGCCTTGTGACCGGAGGGCATGTTGGAAAAGGACTGATGCAGGAGAGTATGTTGGCAGACAGGAAATGGCAGTTTCCAGAAGCTCTGGGCAGAGCTGGACTTGGTGCTGGAGCTGTGAGTGGTCACTGAAATAGGGCTTTGGTCCTGGGCAGCACCCCTGAGAGGGGGCCTGGGCAGCCAGAGGCATCAGTGATCCTTACAGCTGGCCAGTGTATCCTGAGTGCTTCTGGAAAAGCAAGAGAAACAGTACTGACAGAGCCAGGTGATGTGAACTCCTGCACATGGGGTTTCTGATAAGGCATAATCCTGCTTCTGAGACTGTTTCTCTTATTTTGGTCTGTCAGACACTGTTTTGGGAGTGTTTCCTCAGTCTGTACCTACACTTGCAGGAGGGAGGAGCTGGTCCTGCTGTATCTGCTCGTGATTGATGCCCATCCTTTTTGGGGTGAGGGAACTTGGGAACAGGGAGTATCCTAGTCAGGACAGATCTTACTCTGGCATGTGGGTTGCCCAGTGACTCCCCCTCCCCCTGCCGAAGCTGACCCCCTTTCTCTGATCAGCTGCTCCTGACAAGCCTGGAGCACCAAGTGTTGTTCCCCAGGGTCCGAGCGTACAGTGTTTTTCTGAAGGTTGTCCCATCCTCAGTGGTAAACACTGCTGTGTCAGGGTACTGCTCAGGGGCCACTTGGAGCACATAGATTTTTGCCAGCAGAATTGTGAAGCTTTGCATCGGGCTGCAAAACCAGGGCTTGAGCAAGCAGCTGGAGAGAGTCCAGGACTAGAGTGTTTTTGGGTTTGGGGGGTGGAGAGCAGAGGGAGGGAAAGGGAGGGGCAGGAGGGCAGAGCTACACAAGCAGGCAGTCTGCTGCTTTGGCTTTGCTGCCGGCAGAGAGGACTTCAGTTGTGCCTGAGGGCCGCTTGGCCACTATTGCTGTAGACCGGAGGGCGCTGCCTCGCAACCCTGACTTACCGGCACTGCACCCGGACTGTTCCAAGTGGCTGTTGTGCTGTCTTTTCCCTGGGAGGCAAGTCTCCTCCCTGTCGTCCCCTCCTGCTCCTCCCCCGTTCTGTGAGGGATGATGCCGCTCTCTGTTGCACGGCTCAGCCGGCTGATGTCACTGGCAGCGGGAAGCATCAGCAGCCTGATCACATGCTGGCCCAGTCTGTAATGCAGACGGGATAGGGGTGTGTATGTGGGGAGGGGGGCTGTATGGCAACTGCTCTTGCTCTAATACCCCCAAAAGTGCAGAGGCAGCGGCTGCAGCATCCAGCCAGCTTGGATGTCTGGTCCTTGAGCCTAAGGAAACTATTATTAATATTATTTATTGTTGATAATACTGGGGAAAACAGCCCTTAACTCTGGGGTTCTGCTGTCCTCCTGTCCAAAGCAGACTTCCAGGACTCTGAAGAAACAGTTACAAGCAGGATGCTTTTCCCCACCTCTGCGCAAGATTCTTCCCGTGGCCTCCCAGATGCAAATGACTTGTGCCTTGGCCTGCAGTCCCTCAGTCTCACAGGCTGGGACCGACCCTGGAGCACCCAGGACTCAGATTCTTCAGCCCAGAGCGGCACACACTCAGGTGAGTGCCAGAAAATGAGTTGGCTTGGGGGTGGTGGTGGTGGTGGTGTATGTGGGGTAGTGAGTGAAGATATCCACAGCAACAGTTGTTCTGTTCACCTTTGCATCTCCCCCCCTCCCCATACAACATGGAGCTGTTTTGCAAAAGATGGAAATGCTGGCTGTGAGTGTGGCAGGACAGATGGTTGCTTGTAAAAGCAGGCATGGCTTTTCCACTTACCCTGATAAATTCCCTGGAGTTGTTAGTCTGTACCTGAGGTGGCCCCGAGAAGGGTCCACAAGGTGACAGTCTTATGCAGAAAAGATCCAGCTAACCCCCTAGTGCCCAGGCCTGTCTTGGAGATGATGAAGCAAAACACTTTTAAGGTGGGGGAGGGGACTTAAGGGGCTGATTACTGGATGTCCAGATTCTGTTTCTCAGTGGCTTTTAAAACTAGGGAGCTATGTGTGAAGGATGGGTGGTCCCTGAATCATGGCAAGGGAAGAATTTTAACCGTAAGTGAGGCTGGGTAATGCTGGGATATTGGAATTGGCTTCACCTAAGGTTTAGAGCATTGATCCTGGAAAGGGGTAAGTGGGGTGGAGTAACTCTCAGCTGCGGAGGCTTTTTTTTTTTTTTTTCTTTCTTTGTGTTAAGGGTGACCAAGTAGATGAAGGAAGAACCACTCCTCTTTAGGATCCCCTGTCATCTTGGAAGGATTCGATGGGGTCAAGTTGAAGGGGCTTCTTGGCAACCCCTTGAACTGCTTCTGCTCAGACCTTCCCATTGCCCGTTTATTTCCCTCCTGTGGTTCAAGGGGGAGGGTTGGCCAGATGCAAGGCTTGGAGTGTTCAGGAAGAAATGTGAACTTAAGAAATACTGTAACTATACATAAAAATCTATGTATTGCGCTTTATGTAAATTACACCTTAATAAAAGGAATATGGGCAGCAGGTACTTTAAAAAGATGGAAAGGGGGGGTGGGGGCGGCCATTTGCTGTTGGTGCTGACAGTGGGGTTCACAGAGCCTGCCATCCTTCCTTGCCTCCTATCTCCAGAAGCTGGCAGTCATGGCAGCAAGGTGCTGTCTTGTTGATTTCTCTGGCCTCCACCCTGTTTGGCGCAGGTCTTTTTTTAGAATGCTTTGCAGAGCCTGGGACTGTTGTGTCTGTTGGCATTTTAATGCCCGGTTTTTTGGTAAATCCCATCTGATTGGGGGTAGAGGGTGGATTTTTTTTATTTGGCTGCAGGTGGGGAAGAGCTTCACCTTAAGTAACTACCTCTGAGTTGAGGTAGAATTTCTTGAAGTACCAGCCTTTAGCTGACTCAGGTTTTTCCCTGGGCTGGGAAGTGTGGTGTCACTGTTTGGTATCCTGTGCCCGGAGATCTTGGCTTGGAGGTAGTGGTAGTTTCTTTTATGTGGTATTCCGAAGCCAGGCGGGGGGGGGGGGGGGGGCTGTGAAGCTGACCTTGTCCCCACCCTCACTGCTGTATCTGAGCAAAAGACAGGGGAGCCCACCCAGGAGGCAGGCACGTGTCTGTGGTGATCAGTGTTTGACCAAGACAGTGTCTCTCACTGGTATCACGTTGGGTGTGGCCCTTCTTTGGCTCTGGTTTCTCTTAGCTGCAGGGGTCCTTCTGAAATGTATTATAACAAATAGAAATGCAGGAGGGGCCAACTTGGGGCTTGGAGAGGGCCTGGAAAGTCATTCTGAAATTAGGCTGTTAAAAAAAAAAAAAAAAAAAAAAGCTTGGGCCCAGCCATAATTCCCTCAGTTTCCCCACCACCTGAAAGGCCTGTGTGTAGTTATTTGTCTCTGAAGTGGGGATGGATTTACTTCTCCATGTTCTGTCTCAAGCACTTAGGTAATAAATACTACATGATTTTTTGGATCAGGGAGGGCCTGTAATCTGTGGCCCTGGCATTCATGGGAACCCAGAGAGTTGCCCCAGAGGTGTGACTTAGCCAAGGGCAGGGTTAGTGTGTGTATGTCTTCCTTTCCGAGGGTTGAGGACCCAGCCATCCCTGATCCCCCACGTTATCCTTGGGAGCTGTGGTGATGGCCATCTCTCTCCTTTCTCTGAGCTCTGGGCCTTCTTGGAAAGCCCACATGAGGGTGCCGCCTCCTGGAGTAGGACGCAGCCCTCCCACCAGCCAGCTGCACCCTTGCCAGCAATGCAGGAACATGCAGCCCACATTCCAGTGCCTACACTGCCTCCCCATCTGAAGACCAACTAGCTCAGTTTCTTCAGGGAGGGAGGAGGTATTTCAACAGCTCTGGACGGTCTGGGAGTCATCATTGCAGACAGCCTGGTAGCTTGCTGTCTCTGCATGGAGCACCTGGTGCAAGCTTCCTCCTTGGCCCTGCTGGGGGATATATTGCCCCATGTGGCTATGGGTTTACATCTGACCATTTTCCACAAAACTCTTTTAAGTTTTCAGCAGTGTGTAGGGGGCAAGGTTGGAGGTAGCAGGGCTCTTGCCTGAAAAATCTTGGCTAAATTCATTCAACAAATACTTGAGCACTGGCTGTGTGCCAGGCACTGAAGATACATCAACGAATAAAATTATTGCCTTTAAAAATCCCCTTAACTATCAAGGGGAAATAGATGAGAACGAATACCAAATGCAGCATGATAGTTGCTGTGCTTGGGGGCTTTCATTTTCTCCCTGAAGGATTTTTTTGGCATTGGGGCAACATTTCATTGGATTCTCAGCATGAGACTGGTACATGGAGACCTGTCTCCAGGGGCTAAGGTCCTTCTGCCACATGGATTTCATTGGCCTGGGAGGCCTGCAGGAAGACCCTGGGGTGTAATCTGTTTTCGAGAGTTGTGCCTGTAAGGCCAGCATTGGTTTGGGTGTGGTACTCTGTGAGGTCCCTCCCTTCTAGACTCTGCCTACCCCTAAGGCCTCATCTCACGCTGGGAAAGGAGGCCTTCCTTCCCATCAGGGCAAGATGAATGTTAGAGGTGACCCCAGTGACATGTGTCTGGGGCTACCTTTGTCTTACTTGCAGTGTCCTAAGTCTTGTAATGGAACAGGAGGGCTATGAAAGCTATCCTCAATGTCCTGGGATGGGGGAGAGAGTGACTAATCACCATTTATCGACTGCTTCCTATGTGAAGTATATCACATGATTTAATGCTTTCACAGTCCTGTGAAATGGGTACTATTATTGTTCCTATCTGAAAGATGAGGAAATAATGCTCACAGAGCTCGTGAAGTGCCAAAAGTGAAACAACGACCAGAATTCGAGCCTGGGTTTCTTTGATTCCAAGCCTCTTAGGCTTCCTATCACACCTGTGTTCCTGTGGGCAGAACCCTAACATGCTGAGCAAGAACACTTCCGGGACGGTATCTCTGTATATACAACTCCAGGGCTGTTCAGCCATGATGTTTTCTTTTGCCGAGGGTCCCTCAAGGCTAGGGCACGAGACAGTTCTGACTCCCTCTTCACCCTGAGTCTCAGCTCATCAGCTGTGCCCCCCCCCCCCCCGATGCATTTGTGTTCCTGCCTTCCCCCGGTGACTCTTTTGCATGCAGCATTACTCAGCAGGAAGTGGGGTGACTGAGAGCCTACTTTAGGGGACCTGGAAACAAGGACTCCTAATGAAGGCCTTGTGCAGAAGCCCAGTGGGCAGACCAGACGCTCAGTCTAAGGATGCCAGAGGACATGTCCTGTTTCCTCCCACTCTCCTTAGAAGTCCCTTGGAGATTAACCTGTTCACCCTCTTTGATTTCTGCCCTAACCAGTGAAGAGTATGTTCCTTGTGCTTTGTCACTTACAGGCTCCCCATTGGTCTGCAGGCTGAATCAGCCTGGGATGAGAGGGGAGTCTTCAGCATTTTGCTTCTGCTGCTGCTCTACTTCCAAATAATCTTTCCGAGGCAACGTTCAAAGTAGGGTTGGGTTCCTTCTCTGTGGAACATGGACTTCTGGGCCCAAACAAGTTCTCCTGCAAATCTACCTCAGCTGTCCAAGTCTTCGCTGCTTATATTCCCAGTATGTAGCACAGAGCCTGGCTCCTGTCTTTTTAGTAAGTAGTTACTGAGTGAATGATGAGTGCTGAGTTAATTCCGGGTAAGTTTGAACTACAGAGTTCAGACAAAGTCTCTTTCTCTTCTGCTTCCTACTTGTGTTGATCATCTGGACGGACAGATGGTTCAGTGATCAGTATCTCTGAGCCCTCATAGCTTTTAGGGCATGATGATGCATTTGCAGAAAGTATTTTTCATACACCGGAGCATGAATTCTGTCATGGAGTCAGGTAGTCTACTGAGGAGAGTAGCTTTTAGTGCAGAGAGGAGGGAGGGCCTGAGGAGCAGTGTGACAACGTGGTACCTCCTAGGTGAGAAAGAAGTTGAGGTGGTTGGGTCCAGGGACCGAGTATTGCTGACCTTACATGGGACTTGAGCATGTCATTTCTTCAGGTTAATGAAACTTGTCCAGTTGATCAAGATCGGGGAGAAAGGCTATGTCGGGTACCACCTTGGACCTGTGGGATCCAGAGTTGGTGGAGGGAGTTCAGACTCGCAGGATCACCGCCTGAGTTGGGGTGTGTTGTAGAGTTGCAGGGTTGGGGTCATAGGCAGAGAGCATCGTTATACCTGCAATGAGTGCTCCTCTTATGCCTTTAGGTAGATTTTGAGCAGGCAACCCAGGACCAAGGGTTGGGATAGGGAAGAAGGGTTCCAGATGCAGCCTTGTGTCTCGGGCTGGAAATAATGGCTCCTGGTCTGGGTTTTTCCCGTGATTACTCCTGTTAGACAGACTGTGATGTCTCAGGCCTGGGCTCTCCCTGAGCTGAGCTCAAGCTCAGTGTCTTGCAGTGCAGGCATCCGGTGCCTGGCTCCTGCTGCCATTGCTGCTGCCGCCATCACTCTTGGGTGCCTTTGTACTCTTGGGGAAGGCTTCAGAAAATTCCAGCAGTGACTCAGCTGTAAAACCCACAGGAGCTGGCACAGAAGGGTGAAAGTGGAGAAAGTTAACAATCGGTCTAAAAATATTACTGCTGATT